TCTTGCTCAGTCTGGTTTCAAACTCCTGACCTTGAGCAATCCGCCCGCCTCAGCTTCCCTAGTGCTACCATTACAGGCGTGAGCCACTACGCACGGCCAACCTGTATATGTTTTATATTCTCCTACCTTCTCCCTAGAAACCTCTCTCTATATCCACACTATGATCACAGAGAAGCATGGTTACCACTGTACCCTGTCTTTTAAACTTGATCTTGGGCTATGTTTTCTCCTGGTTCATCCTGTCTTTTTTCATCCAGGATTACTTCTGGGCTAGGCCCCCATCTTTGGGCTTTAAAAAAATGTTATAAGCAAAGAGTTACCATTGATAGGGCCTGTTATATGCTATCTCAGTGTTTCAGAATTGATGAAAGTACAGATTGCTATCAGTGCTATCCATGTTGTCAATGAAGAATCTTAAAACAAGTTTATATAGAGAATAAGAAATAGAATATATAAGCCCTAGATTTTCAAGAGTGGGGAGGACGTGCCACCCATAGAAGGAGATTCAGGATATTGGAAGTAAACTTGTCCCATTCCACCAAAAGATAGCATTTTATTTTTCAAAAAACCATCATAACAAATTGACTTGTGTGCTTTCATCCAAAATAAGCCAAAGTGTGTGTGTGTGCTTGCAGCCATGAACACAAGCATGTGTATGTACAGGTATAAAAGATACATGTGTTATGAGTGGACACCAAAACTTCTACAAGGTAACCTATATTTGTTGGGATTTACAGTGATTTTTCTTTTTTTCTTCATCAATGTATGTATTGTTTGTATTTCATATGAGGGTGTGCTAATTTTTTGATCAAATCAACCATAAAACTGATTTTATTGTGATAAAAAACTGACCTTGGCACCTTTGCCTATTTTGCAAATTCAGTATAATACCTCGTACTTCTCTATTACATTCATTATAGTATAATTATATGTATAATAATATTGACATTGAAAAAAAATTGACTTGTTTAAGCTGTAAAATTATTTTAAAACTCTTCCATCAAGAGTTAAGAGTTAAAATTTGATCCTCAGATACATGGAAAGTTCAGTCATTGGGACATAATTCATAATAAATTAGGTAGGATAAACCTAATGTCAATTCTAAGATATTTTATACTGTTTCATAGTACTAACTGGAAATGTCCAGGTTGGAGAAGTATGATGTGAGTCTGTCCCTAAAGGAAAAAAAAAAAAAAAGATTCCACGATAGGGGAAATGCAGGGAAGAAAAAGGATTTTAATACAAATTTAAGGGATTGCTTACATTCTCTCCACTAACACCAGACTCCCCATATGTGAAAATCATATTAGAAATAACCCAAAACCTATGTTTTAAGTGAGTCTAAATAAGTAAATAATAAAGGAATAACCCCAAACCTTCTATTAGAAACATTTAACATCATTGAAGTTAGGCTATATTATTTCTGTCCCTTAATTCAATTTTTAAGTTTTTCTATTTGTATTTTCTCATTTAACTCTTATCTAGGATACATTTATTTCAATGATCCATATCTTATAATTCAACTATGATTAAGTGATAACTGCTCCAGAGCTAGTGCTCAGTTAATCTATTGAATGCCATTTAATTCTATTTTCTTCAGCTAAATTTAATTTCATTTTGAATCAGTAAATTCTGATCTGGGTGTGAATTCTAGGGGATTAACTATCTGGCATAGTTTTTATCCTGACCTTGCCACTTTCATTAGTGTATTCTGTTTCTCCTTACAATACTTCCCTTTTCACAGACCATAAAATTTGGTGATGTACATTCCTGTTAGAGGTGCGGTTTTCATTAATGGCGGGCAGACTTATCAGCGACTCTAAAGTAAATAATTGACTATCTCTAATGATTAACCAAAGCAGTTTTCCCTAGTAAGTAGAAACCTCTCTCTTGTCTCATTTTGTATTTAAACCTTTTAGATTTAAAAATAATATGAACCTGTTTTTAAAAATGTCATAATTTGACCAAAGGAAATACATCCTGTTGGTTAGAAGCTGAAGACAGTTATAAATAGTTCTTTAACTTTGATCCTTCACATTAAATTTGCTTATGAAATATTTCAAATTTGTACACCATAATACACATCCATGTACTCGTTGCCAAGATCTGACAAACTAGTGTTAAATATTTAATTTTTATTAAGGTCCTTTAAGGTATGATGAGGCAACCTTGGTTGACTTAAAGGTGGAGATTTTGAGACACATGATGAATGTTTATGCAGTGGACTAAGCACAGGTTCCTAAACACTGGGCACTGTTGAGTTTTAAGGTTAATTATTACTGTGACTGGTTCTAACAGGACTCCCACCCCCACTATTATCAGTATATATAAGGGTAAGGGTAGTATATCATCCTTTTTTTTTTTTTTTTTAATTCACTCAACGAATATGTATTGAGAAACTGCTGGGAGCCAGACATTGTGTTCTGGAGATACAGCAGTGAGCAAAATAGGAAGGGACAAACATCCCTGCCCTTATAGCCAACCCTAGAGGAAGCGGACAATAAACAAGGCAAATAAGTCAACTACATAGTATGTAGTTGTATATAGAGTATAGTATGTAGAGAATAGTATATAGAGAACTGTTAAATGCTGATCATAAAAAATAAATCTAGGAAGGCGGATAGGAAGTGTTGGTAGTCAGGGACAAGTTCATTAAAAAGGTGGCATTTGAGAAATTACCTGAAGAAAATCAGGGAGTAAGACCGAGTTATCGAAAGAAGGAGCATTCTAGGCACAGGGAACAGCAAGGATGACTGCCCTGAGGTGGGAGCTTTCCTGCTACTGTTTTTTGTTTTTTTTTTTTTTTTGAGACAGAGTCTCACTCTGTTGCTCTGGCTAGAGTGCTGTGGCGTCATCCAGCCTAGCTCAGAGCAACCTGAAACTCCTGGGCTCAAGCGATCCTCCTGCCTCAGCCTCCCGAGTAGCTGGGACTACAGGCATGCACCACCATGCCCGGCTAATTTTTTCTGTATATGTTTTTAGTTGTTCAGTTACTTTTTTTCTATTTTTAGTAAAGATGGGGTCTTGCTCTTGCTCAGGCTGGTCTCGAACTCCTCTCCTTGAGGAATCCTCCCACCTTGGCCTCCTAGAGTGCTAGGATTACAGGCGTGAGCCACCGCGCCTGGCCTAGTTTTGAGGAGAACAAAACGGCCAGTGTGGCTGGTACAGAGTGAGCCACTCCATACTCAAAGAAGGTGGTCAGAGAGCTCTAGTGGCCAGGTAATCGACGGCCTTATAAGGGAAATCATTAGTGGGGTTTAACCAATGTGACCTAATTTGACTTACATTTTAACAGGATCCTTTTGCTGCTATGTTGAAAAGGAATCATAGGGAAGCAATGTGGAAGCAAAGTCCAATTAGAAACTGCTTTTTTTTTTAAGACAGAGTCTCGCTTTGTTGCCCGGGCTAGAGAGAGTGCCGTGGCATCAGCCTAGCTCACAGCAACCTCAAACTCCTAGACTCAAGCGATCCTGCTGCCTCAGCCTCTCAAGTAGCTGGGACTACAGGCATACGCCACCATGCCTGGCTAATTTTTTCTCTATATATTAGTTGGCCAATTTCTTTCTATTTATAGTAGACACAGGGTCTCGCTCTTTCTCAGGCTGGTTTCGAACTCCTGACCTAGAGCAATCCTCCCGCCTCGGCCTCCCACAGTGCTAGGAGTACAGGCGTGAGCCACTGCGCCTGGCCTAGAAGCTTCTTGATGACAATGCAAACTATGTAGTAGCAGTCAAGCTGGATACTGGATGTCTCTTAAAAGGGAGAATGCAAAAGGGTGGACGCATTGTGGGGTGTGAGAGAGAAGATGGGGGCACATGGAAAGGTGACCTGCTCTTTCCTGAGACAGGGATGACTGTGAGAAGAATGGGATTTCGAAGGGAGTGGTAAAGAGGGATTGTCAGGAACTCAATTTTAGACATGCTAAATGTAAGTGGCCTTAGACATTAAGGGGAGATCAGAACCGAGGTCCAGGATAGAGATATAAGTTTGGAATTCATCAGCATATAAATAATACTTAAAGATAACAGAATAGATGAGATCACCAAGAGATGAGCAGAGATAGTAAATATAACAGAATACGCCTAAGGACAGAGCCAGGGCAATGTTTATCAAGAGACAAAAAGGAGCCGACACAGAAGCTGGAGAGGACTGATCTGTGGAGAGTAGGGAATGTGGTACCATGGAAGAAAAAGCATTTTAGCAGCGTGGACAACTGTGTTTAATGTTGCTAACAGGTCAAATAAATGAATTCTGAGAAGGGGCCACTGATTTATTTATGGTCAAAGTCATTGGTGATATGGATAGGAATACTTAATGGATCAAGGGCTGAGAAAAATCTAATTGGAAAGGTTCAAGTGGAAAAAAAGAAATTGGAGACACAAACTGTGAACAACAGTTTTAATTAGTTTTGTTGTAAAGAGAAAGAGCAAAGATGACGTGACAATTGGCCAGGAGGCACCGTCCAGCCTGCTGAGGCAGGATTGTCTTAGAGTCTGCTGACAGTCACGTGCTATGAGTGTGAGCAGTGGCTGTGTGTGGTCGGTGACCTCAAAGGACCTTGCCTCGGGTAGACATATAGATTTTTGCAATGGTTTTCACTGATCCACTGGTGCTGAAAAGAGATAGATTAATCAAGCCAGCTGTTAACGTGCAAATAATCTTCTCTTTTTCATCCCGTACTTTAAATCCAATAATTTCTCCAGATTTTTCTTAAAAAGTTAGTTTTTAACTGTATTACTTATGAGTCCTATACATTACAGCTGCTTGTTCGCATGTCAGTCTCCCATCCTAACCTATTTCTTGAGAGGAGCTGTATTATTTTTCTTTAAATATCCATCCCTAGCCCAGCTTCTGCATGTGGCAGATGCACCGTAAATGTGCAGGACTGTCATGTTCCATGTTGGTATATGATGTGTTTGACATAAAAGTTCAGTGTCTTCCTCAAGTTTGCTATTAATTTCTAAATATACGATTGTGTTTGGTCATTTTGTTTTCCGTAGAGTCCCAGTGGAGCAGGCATGGTGAGAACAGGCTCACTGCAGCTCAGGAGCACATCCGGAGGGAACTCATCTTTGAGAAGGACAAAGCGAAAAGCACCTTCCCCACCCTCCAAATTACCCCTGCATCAAAGTGATAAAGATAGTCAGGGGACTGGTAATGTTAATTTTCCTGTTAATAAATTTGGGTTGTGTTTTTGTTTAATACAGACAGTAGAAATGATATAGGTTACAAGTTCTGTCTTTAATTTTGTGATGATAATAATACCTAGGCTTTAAAAATAATTCCTTAGTCTCACTTAGCTGCCTTTTAAAAATCTGCAACATAACAAAATGCCAAAACTGTACGGCTCCATTATCCTAAAATAAGCATGGTATAATTCATGAATTTATTCAGAAAGATCCTGCCATTTCAGGATTGACTATATGTGGGAAAGGGAATCCATGTGGATTTAAGGTGTTTCACAGCTGGATAGTATTATATAAAATGGCTTCTAGCAAGGTTAGGGCTCATTTCCTTCTGAACTATATAAAAATAAGTTAAACTGTTAAGGAATTGTTTCATTTGTCAGTGGGACTTTATAAGTTGTGTTGCTTCTTTTTTTTAGTCTTGCAGTCAGTAGATGGAATTCCTCCAGACAGTGTTTCAGAAGCAAGCTCTCCTGAGGGGCTATCCAGCCCAGGTATGACACTTTTACTCCACATTATGTAATTACTGAAAAAGAGCCTTCCTGACAATTGAGAAATGAATCTAGTTGTAATGCTCTGAATATGAAAGAGATAAGATATTTTGGCCTCGTTTCCCAAATTTTATACTATGAAGTGAATTCTCTCCTCCCTCCCTACCAGGATTAGAGTATGAAACGGGCAGAGATCAAAACTTCAGTTCTGGCCGGGCGCTGTGGCTCACGCCTGTAATCCTAGCTCTTGGGAGGCCGAGGCGGGCGGATTGCTCAAGGTCAGGAGTTCAAAACCAGCCTGAGCAAGAGCGAGACCCCGTCTCTACTATAAATAGAAAGAAATTAATTGGCCAACTGATATATATATAAAAAATTAGCCGGGCATGGTGGCGCATGCCTGTAGTCCCAGCTACCCGGGAGGCTGAGGCAGGAGGAGGATCACTCGAGCCCAGGAGTGTGAGGTTGCTGTGAGCCAGGCTGATGCCACGGCACTCACTGTAGCCTGGGCAACAAAGCGAGACTCTGTCTCAAAAAAAAAAAAAAAAACTTCAGTTCTGGAATTATACCTTGAGTACTTTCCCTATTTGGTCTCCTGTTTTTCCTTATGCATTGTCAGTTTAACATTTATTAACCTCCTTCCCAAGAGTAATGACACATCATAGTTAGGAATGTATCTTGGTGTATGCAGAAGAAAACTTTCATAAAAGTGCAAGCACAATTTCTTTATGCAACTATTTCAGGTATGAATTCAACATACGAACTATCCTACTCTTGATGATAAAAATTTGTTACCATGAAAATGTTTTCTATTGCAGAATCTGGCTCTCATTGTGGATTCTCCCCAAACAAATGAAATGTCAGTACAAATAAAATAATGCAAAGCTAATACTATGGCCAATGTTTTCAATAGCTATTTAGAAGCTATTATTAGTATAAAATTTCTTAATCTTTAAAGTTAATGTGAGATATAAATGAATGTGATACACTAATATCATACCAAAATAGAATATGATTATGCTAGTACTTTCACATGGGATAACTTGATAAGTATGAAAATTGCTTAATATAACTCTACCTAATTTTGATAATTAATATTCATAAATATAGGAAATATTTAGGAGCACTTAGATGCTCTTTGACTCTTTCATCTTCAAGTGATAATTAGGGATTTGGAATTTTAACATATATGTATAAGAATTCTTCCCTTCTCTGTGACTTAAAATATTACTACTAGATAACTAGTAATGATTTTTCTCAGCTCTTATACAGAATAATATCAATGATACCGTTTTGATCCACAAAGGAAATTTACTGAATAATGTTAACAACCACAACTGTGTAGTGAAATTAGAAGATTCTGAAGTATTAGGAAAAGGTGTGCATGCTGTTCAAACTTTGCTTGATATCTGTTTCCTTTCTTTTTTTTCCATGTTACCTCCTCTCATTTAATGCATGGGTAATTGTGAGCTGACAAATCCGATTTCTTCCAAAGTACTTCTTGCTCTCTTCTGGCCTTAACTCTGTTGTTTAAGTGCCATTTCCACAGATTCTACTTCTTTGACAGAAGCCTCCCTTGGTCCTGGGCTCGTCAGTCATGAAGAGTGCACTGCCCCCAACCTGACGGAGGAAACCCCTGAGTGCCCTGGAACACCTGAGGCAGCAGTAGCATCACCATGTAGGTGGTTCGCTTTCTTGGCTGGTGCTTTGTGTAATGCAGATTAAGATGTTATCAACTATTGATTTTGGTTACTGATCTGAGCCCTTGTGTAAAATGTCTCATAAAGAAATAAGAGTTTAACATTTTCACTTGAAATTTTATTCAGGTTTGGAGTTTGCTATTTTCCCCAACCATATAGATGACTGTGACAAAGTGTGAGATTAATAAAATCAGTGGTTCTGAAGAATTTCAGCTTCTATTTGGCTTTCTGCTTTTTTGGGAAAACCGATCTTTATTATTTTTGACGTATAACTATATATAATATATATAAAAGAATATTTATATATTCTTTGTTGAACTCCTTTGTTATCTATGCATGGCTTATTTTATATAGTAGTATTTTTAATATTTTTATTTTAAAATTGTTGGAACTATTTTGTTATAAGATGACAAAGCTTTATATTTAGGTAATACTTGAATTTGATCAACATTTTACCCAATTTTTCATTGACTCAGAGTATTGATCAGGTCAAAACAGTTGTTTAAAATTAGTATACTATCACATATTGCTTGTGGGAATGCAAAATTATATGGCCACTTTGGAAAACAGTTTGGCAGTTTTTGTGTTTTTAATAAAATTTAAACATTCATTTTCTATATGACCAATAGCCCCAGGTATTTTCTCAAGAAAAAGAAACAAAAAACTCTTGCACACACAAAAAGAGCTGCCCAGTGGGTTATCATAGAATTTTTATTCATAATTGCCAAAATTTGGAAATAATACAAATGTCCCTAAACTGAGGGAATGGGTAAACAAACTGGTTTTTCGGTTTTTCCATGTATTGAAATACTATTAATCTAGCCATAAAAAGAAGTGAATAACTGATCCATGCAACAGGATGACTTTAATCTTGAATGTGTTATGTTAAATGAAGAGGCTAGACTCAAATGGCTAAAGGGTGTATGATTTCACTCATAGGACATTCTTGCAAAGGCAAAACTGTAGGGATAATGGTTGCCAGAGGCTAGAGTTAGTGGCAGGGGTTGATTGCCAAGAAGCATGGAAGGATTTAGAGGGTTGACAGAATTCTTCTATATCTTGATTGTGGTGGTGGTTACAAAACTACATACGTCTGTCAAAACTCAAAGAACTATGTTCCAAAAATGCTGAATTTTATTGAATATAAATTGTACCTCATTTTAAAAGATGAAAAAAACAAACAAACAAAAAACCCACAACCCTGGCACCAACTATAATAGTGTTTGACACAAAAATTTTTTTTTGAATGAATGAATAAGAAGAGAAAGTAGTGCACTAGAATGGATTTAATTTAATACAAATTTCATAGATTCAATTTAATGCTATTCTCTTTTAACAAAGATTAGTAGTTTTTAGGCAATTTTTCCTATTTTGATGATCCTTAGGAAAAATCAGGTATTCAGAAAATCCTAATGAAACTTTAAGCTTTAATAACTTAACAAGTAAAATGTCTTTGGCTTACAAAATGTCTTTTGAAAGTTTATTTAAGAGTCCAGCTAATTATTATTTTAAAAATTTCTTCTTCCTCGCCAAGATTGCATATGATGAATGAGGCAAATTAATATTCAGGATTATATCTGCCTTTCTTTGTAGCTGGAATAAACTCTGATTATAGCCTTGAAGAGATAGATGAAAAGGAAGAACTGAGTGAAGTGCCTAAAGATGAGGCTGAAAATATTTCTCTGAAGTCACAAGATATTCCTTTTGTATCTACTGATAAAATAAATGCATTGAAAAATGATCCTGACTCAGCCCTTGGCAATGAGAGTGGAAAGTCCTCACAAAACTCCAAGGAAGAAAAACACAAAACTAGAAGCACAAATGGACAGTAAGTAGTCCATTTGCCAGAGGTGTTGGTGGTGGCTTGTTTAATTAATGCTAGTCTTCTGAAATATCTGATATTTTAAACACAAATATAGTTGGCCCTTTGGTTTATACGCCATCCCTTTTTACCATCATGATAAAAATGTTAATAAAGTATCTCATTTCATGTAATTATGTTCAAAGAAAATCAAATGTGACAGTTCTATCCCTGTGTCAGATAAACTATAACATGTAGTTCATTTGTATGACTCAAAAACTAAAGTCTGTGTGTGTGTTTTGCCTATTACCTATGTAACATAAATTTAATTTTCAGTTTTCACCAAATACTCCTGAAGGATTTCCACTGACTGGTATATGAAAACAATTCTGTATATAAAGTGTGATGTTAAATCGTCAGTATTATTTTGCAGTCAACTTTATGATGTGGTCAATTTTCCATTTGATACTAGGAATGGAAAGCTATAGTCTAGTCCACATATATTATGTTTGAAATGTAACACCAAGAATAAAGATGAAATTAACCAAGCAAAATAAACATCTTCATCAGAGGTTTACTATAATTTGCATGGAATTGTCTCCAAATTAAACTATTCTATCACCACAAAATCAGTGAGGGCAATCCACATTCTGATTTATGCAGTTGATCTTGCCAGATGTAAAACTAAAATGTTTCATTTTATTTCCTTTTTCTTTAAAAGACAAATAACTGATAATAACAAAATAAAGACACTTTTGGAAAGGTGTCCATTTTGCCAAGCTTCTTATATTTTTCTTTGTAATCGGACCGCCACATGAAAGCCAATGTTTCATAGCAGCATTTCCTCTCAGTTGTATTTTTTTCTTTGCTATTAACTTTCCAGTGTTTGGCAGGAAAAGATGATTATTTTAGTCCATCTGTCTTTGGAAATTATTGCCTGATTTCTTTGTGTGTGTGTGTGTTTGAATAGTATCAACATATAATATACAATATCATATCTTTCAGAGGACCACACAGCACAATATATGATACAAGCAACGAAGAGTTGGTAGTTGATAGTATAAGAAGCTCAAAGTCTTTGGGCCCAAACCAAGAGAATGGTGAGTTATGTAAACACGAACAGCCAACACTTTCATAATACTATTATATGACACGCATGATTCTTAGTACTTCATATGTATTAAGTTATATAATCTCATATGTTAACTCATTTAATACCTATCTCATTTGTGGGTATTATGAATACTATTATTTTTAGTCCCAATTTACAGAGGATTGCATTGAAGAAATATTAAGTAACTGAGCTGAGGTCCCACAACTAGTAACTGTTGGACCTAGGATTTAAACTCAGTCGGTATTACTCTAAAGTGTGCTCTAACTTATGTAGTACTTTTTTAAAAATTATGTCTTAGAGATTATCTAATTACGATTTTAGATCTTAAAGATTATCCTCTATTTATCTATTTGTGGTCTATTTCTCTTTTTTCTGTCTAGCCCTCTAGTTCAAGCCTGTTTTACTTCATACTCAAGTTGCAACACCTTGGATGAAACTTACCTGTGTGATTTTTAAGGTCCAAACTATCTAATTATATAACCTTATTCACCACCATTTACCAATTCTCATATCCAAATCAAGATAATTTCTTCTTTTTCTCATGATATAATTTGTTCACGTGTACCATTAGACCTATATTCATGCTGTCTTTGCATGGAAAATGATTTTCTATCTGCTTTACTTATTCAGTTTCTATTCAAATCCTAACATTTCATTTATTTATTATTTTACTCGATTATTAGAAGCCATGTAATTCTGTATTCCTGACTCCTTCAACTGAATTGGAGAGTTTTGGATCAGAGAAATTTTAATACTTTTTAAAAATTCCTCATAGCATCTAGTAGAATACTGAGACACTCTTAAAATATATACCAAGGATGGAATTTCAGGAAAATAATTCTATGCAAATAGAAAATTCAAGGAATACTCAGTGATATTTTAAGGGGATAAGAAGCAAATGGCTTATGAATTCTCATAGTCCAATCTACTATGTTAATATAAAATACTAGGTTAAGATTCCTAGAAAACATGGGAATATACTATTCATATTTAGATAAGACATGGATAATCCCAATGTTATATATATATATAATTTTAAATGTCTGCTATGTGTGTGTTAACTTGACTATGTATGCCTCTGATTCATTTTCCCATACCTTCAATACCATTGTGAGATACCATACTGAAGAAGGTCTAAAAGTAATTTCCCCATTCTTTTCCTCTTTATCCAGTTTTTCACAGCATATACTATTATGGCAGTAGAATCATAGAAATCATGATTTATTGATTTCCTATTGAGAAATCATGATTTAAAAGCTGCTGCTTATTAAAATAATAGTGAAATTGAGTCATTTTTATCTAAGATTTTGACATCAGGTTAGGGCTACAGTCACAAGAACACTTATGTAATATTTTAATTTGTGCAGGAATTGCAATGACCTTTGTCCACTGTAGGTGTTTTTAAAAATAATTTCTATTATTCTTAAATTAGTTTTATTCTGTTTTCTTTTTTGCGTACCCTTATCCAAATCACTAAGCTAAATCTAAATCACCTACACTTAATCTAAATCCTTTCATAAGGTGGCAGATGTCAGTGTCAGTTTTGAGTAGGGGGTGGGATAATACAGAAAAGCTACCTTCTCCCTCTACTGGTCATCCTTGGAAAGTGGCCTAGCCGTCCATAGACACTTGTCAGATATGTATCATTGTCAAATATGTATGAGGATGGATTCTAAGTGTCCATCCTGACAATCATTGGGAATAATTGTGAAATATTGATGAGACATTCAGAATTAGACAATGGTAAAGTAGGTGTAACCCGCCAAAAATATGAAAAAAAGAAATGTAGAGTTCTAAAACCAATAAATTAGGTTTTATTATAGGGATTTTATTTTAAAATATATTTTTACATTGATATGCTTTCTTTTGGGAAATATTTCTATTGTGTGAACTGGGAAATACCTATGTTCAGTGAAAAATGAGAAATAAGCAAGAGAGAAGAAAATACATTTAGGCTCATTTCCTTCTGCCAGGGACCATTAATTAAATACTTTTATGCTCATAACAGGGTTCAGAATAGTGCTTTTCATATAAATAATTAAAAGGTACTTATGAACCAAGTAAATTAAGAGACAGAGTGTGCTGCTTCTATGGTTCCTAATCAGAAGTGTCCTTAATTTTGTAAATCATAGAAGTCAATAATTATTGGTCATTGACAAAAGTCACCGAAGTAGATGACACATATTCTGATAATCAGGAAAGAATAAAAATGAATTCCATTTTCAGATTTTATATTTAATGAATCTTACAACATAATGTAAAATATTAACTGCCATGACCACAAATCTGTGCAATTAGCCAGAGTTTAAAAGTGTAAAGGTATTTTAAAAAATGATTCATATACAAATTTCCCTGACAACATGATTTTTTTTTTGGCATGTATGTATCTTTTTTCTCTCTCTCTTTAACAGAGCAACTATATTATATAGTTCATTACATTTTAGGCAGTGCATTGATCTTAACTTCTTATAGGTAATAGTGGTTGATGATAAAACTACAGAGAAATACTTGACACCCTTTCATGATTTGACACCCAAGGTCCACATTTCTCTTGTACTGTGCAAACTACTGCCATATCTGAAAAGGTCACTAAGGTTTTCAAGATAAGGGTGTAGTGGTCACGTAGGAGGCATGATTCTTCAGAGCATTTGAATAGAGGAGCACAGCACACAAATGATTAGTTCAGTACAAGGCACATGGTTTAGACTCATAAGCCTGTGTTTTCTTCCATATGCCTCATGCCAGTGCTTCGCCATCATGTTGTTGACTGTAAGCTGTTGCTTTGTTAATCTAGATATTGGCAAAGGGATTTTCATTTTTAGGAGGTTTGAATTAGAATCAAGAAGAAAAGTAGTGCAGGGGAGAGGGAGGTTGCTTTCTCTACTTTGATTCTGACTCCAGAACAAGGATACCATTTTCCCACAGAGAAAAATCTAAACCAGCATGACTGTTTTTATGTAGTTGAAATCACTCATGTTATGACTAAAAATAGAGTTCTCTTAAAGTTTTTAGCAAGGGCACTTAATTAACAAAACAATCAACTTAGATTGTTTTTACTTCAAATCTTAAAGGTAATTTTTTCTCTTAGATGCCTTACTTAATTTAACCTGACAACCTTTGCTGGGATTTTTTTTCCCCTTTTAATGTTATATTTAATGAAATATAAATATATTAGGGCTATAAAAGAGTCAAAATGGAAAAAAATAGTGGTTTTTTTTTTCAATTTTTTTCCTTTGCCATTATTAACAATGACTGAAAATATGACGTTTTCACTTCTAAGAAGAAACATAGCTTCTGTGGAGTGATTGCTATGATCAGTATTCTATCCTAATGAGCATGCTATATAAATGGCACATAAAATATATATAATATAAAGTATAAATAATATAAACACATATTTCACCTATTTATATCTGAGCAAGCTAAGGCTCGGAGGGGTTAATTAGCATGTCGTATGCCACTACTTCCCTTTGTACAGTTAGTTGAAAATTATCTGTAGAATTCAACCTATTTCAGATTGGGGGAAGTTGTTATTGAAAATTTGAGGTTTTCTACTTTTTTTTTCCTACACTTAACTTGATATTTTTTCTCTCAATAGTTCAAAATGAAATAATTGTCCTTCCAAAGAATACAGAAGATAATGTGAAAAATGGAGTGAGGACGACAGAAATCAATGTAAGAGGTGTTACCAAAAGTAACAACATGGACAGGGAAGTTGACAGACTGTCAAACTCCCAGGCATGTGAAACAGATACCATTATAAATCACAAGGAAAACCACGTAGCAGCTTCATCAGTACCAGATCAAAAACTGAAACAACCCAGTGCAGAGAAGACAAAAATGCAAGATGCAGCAATTCAGACAACTCCTTCCTATAACAGTTTTCACAGGAATCACCAAGATCAGAATTTGTCTGACCTCAAAGTTGATGAAAGTGTACAAATTTCAAATAATAACAAATCAACTCAACACTCGTCCTTATGTCCACAAGATTCTTTGGCTACCTCAAGGGAATTGAGGAGCCAGGGCACCCTAATTATACAATCAGGAGGTCAACCCACCATAAAAGATCCCATTTGTGCACGTGGTAATGAAGATCTTTTGCCTCCTACAGATGGGATTGACAAAAATTCAACTGTTTCTTACCTAAAGAATTATCCATTTTATAGACAGGACTACAATCCCAAACCAAAACCTTCAAATGAAATTACAAGAGAGTATATACCCAAAATTGGAATGACTACTTATAAAATAGTGCCTCCCAAATCCTTGGAAATATTGAAGGACTGTGAATCAGAAACCATAGGGTATAAAAATGATCAGGAGATACATACTGTAGGAAAGCACACTCAAGAGAATGTGAAAGAAACTGCCATCCAAACAGAAGATCCTGCTATTTCTGAAGTTCCAAAGGAACCACCACCGGACCTTAAACCTAAACCTAATTTGAGAACCGAGCATCAGGTACGCAGTGCTGTGAGCCCAACTGAGGATGCGACAGTTAATCCTCTGAAACCTGCTCCCAAAGTGACAAGACACGCCGCAACAGCTCCTTTTGCGCCAAATTTGGAAGATATAAACAATATTTTGGAATCAAAATTTAAATCTCGGGTTTCAAATCCCCAAGCCAAACCAAGTTCTTTTTTCCTGCAGATGCAGAAGAGAGTATCAGGTCACTATGTGACATCTGCAGCTGCCAAAAGTGTCCATGCTGCCCCTAATCCTACACCAAAAGAACTGACGAATAAAGAGGCAGAAAGGGATACGCTGCCTCCTTCGGAGCAGACTCTTTCTCCCTTAAGTAAAACAACTCACTCTGGTCCACCACCCCATGTTAAAAAAACTGATGATGACATCGTCAATCAGAAGCCTGCTGAAAGCTCTCCTCCTACCATAGCTCCCAAACCTGCGACTCTTCCCTCTAGTCAGGTAGCAGCACTAAATCTGAAGACTTTGAAAACTTTTGGTGCCCCGCGACCATACTCAAGCTCTGCACCTTCGCCGTTTGCCCTCGCTGTAGTGAAAAGGTCACAGTCTTTCAGCAAAACACGCACCGAATCACCCAGCGATGGTGCATCTGCCCAACCTGCAGCCAACACAGAGGAAGGGAAGACTCATTCGCTAAATGAGTTTGTGGACATTCCACAATTCGGTGGGATTGATAAGGTAAATGCCGCCTTTTTAAAAATTAAGGATTCAGATTTAACAACATGGTAAAAATGGGGGTTAAGGAGCATGTTGGTATGTTTGTATGCTACTCCACTCAGAATCCATATTAATCTTATTATCAAGCTATTATAGGGAAAAGAGAGAGACAATACATAGAATCTGATTATTTACTCTAACAATTATTATAATACATGTAACTTGTTTGGGTATTATTACTATAAGCTCATCTTATATAATTAGCAAATGTTTTAAAATTACTTTGCTCATATATTTGTATGATGCACTAGTTTATGGCTCTGTTTTCCTATGTTTTATCTTAATTTGTTTTCACCTTTTCTGGATGCTCTGGCTTAGTTTATTTTCTTCACCAATTTTACAATACTATATAATAGCAAAATAAATAGTTTTGATTATATAGAAACAAGTTGTATCAGAGACTAAATAAAATAATTGGGTATCTCTCAGTTTTCCATCATGCATACACATTCAACCTCAACGTATCAAACATTTTTATATATAAATAAATTGAAAGTTTTAAAATGTAATTTTCTTGGCCAGGCATAGTGGCTCATACCTGTAATCCTAGCACTGTGGGAGGCTGAGGTGGGAGGATGAGTTGAGGTCAGGAATTTGAGACCAGCCTAAGCAAGAGTGAGACCCCCTCTCTAGGAAAAATAGAAAAAAATTAGCCAGACGTGGTGGCGCATGCCTGTAGTCCCAGCTACTTGGGAGTCTGAGGCAGGAGGATTGCCTGAGCCCAGGAGTTTGAGGTTGCTGTGAGCTAGGCTGATGCCATGGCACTCTAGCCCCAGCAATAGAGCGAGGCTGTCTAAAAAAATATATAAATAAATTACTAATAAAATGTAATTTTTTTAATTCCCCTTTTTGTCAATTCAGTGTCAACTTTTCCAATTATAATATGTATGTTGACCAAAATACCATTTAACCACTATGTAACTTAGTGTTTGGTCAACTGAATGTTGTATTTTGCTAGGTTCAGATAATATAGTCAAAGGAAAGGATGAAATTAACAACATGAATCATGATAATCCTCATGCAATTTTTAAGAAATACTTTGTGTACTTTTTACTCTGATAGTGTTTAAAGAATACCTTCATATTTGACAGTTCCAAAAGTATTTAATACTACTTTTTCAAACATTCCTAGAGTAAGAGAACATTAACCATATTGCCAAGTAAAGATTTTTCCATAATTCTAAAGCAATATTTATCTTGAAGAATATTTCTTCATATATTTTACATTCATGTCTATTACTTTGATATAGCATCAGGACAAGATGTGTGATACAGAGATTAATTCTTGGAAACAAAGCCTGTGTTTTTTCTTGGAATGGAATACCGTTCCTAAACAACAGGAGCCTGATTTAGATAATACAGTTTATTTAAGTCATTGCCTGAGCCCTGTTTAGCTCTTTTTTTTTGTAAAGATATTTATTTTGCAGTGTGAAAAAGACATTTTTAAAGATTACTTGATAGCATATACCAGTTTTATCATTTACTAAATATTCCTTCCTAAGAGTTTAATTAAATTCTTCAATTTGGAAGTTCCTAATTTTTATTTTTAGTCTCATGGAAGAAATAAAACGTGGTCAGCACTTAAGCCCTGTGACTTCCAGAAACACAACATAAGCTATTGAAGTGTAGCATAGTAATTAGTATTCCTTTTTATGAGATATATTAGATTTGACCAATACGAAATTGCCAGTATTTGACTGTTTTGTACATTTAAAAATAATAATTTTACAGCCTAGTATGTTGGAACCATAAAATGGGTTATTTTGTTTGTGAAAATTTTTTATTTGGTTCTTCTAGCCAACTTCATGTATTGGCAAAACCAGCATTTTTTGACTCAAGCACAGTAAAATTACCACTGTACTTATGAAACAAAGAGAGGGACCACTTTTCTTCCTTAGCCTCTGAGTTCAAGAGAAGAGGAGATAATGCCTTCATCTTCCAACTTAGAGATAATTCAGTGGTTGAAGTAACAGATTTGTGCTTAAAGCACTAGTATAGCAAATGGTGATGCTTAAAGATGATGATGATTTTTTTTTTTTTTGCAAAATTGGCCTATTCTCTTGGTATTCATATAAAAGTTTTGCATTTAATTTTGTAGGACAATAACTCTGCATATAATGAACAGAATTCTCAAATACCAACTCCAACTGACTGCCCATCATTCACCCTTAAGAGACAAAGTTCTTTAACATTCCAAAGCTCTGACCCAGAACAGATCCGACAGAGTTTGCTGACTGCGATCCGTTCTGGAGAGGCTGCTGCCAAATTGAAAAGGGTAAGTTTTCTTTATCATATGGTGACATTGGGTTTATTTTCAACATTGTCAAACTAAGACTTCGGGAAAAATTTTTGTCTAGCATTGAAATCTAAATGGGGATCCAAAATTTACTCTTTTATGTCAGGGGTCATTTTTGAAGTATAAGCTGAAAGAGTCCAGAGTCTTACACATAGTTAAAAATATGTCGCGTCTATTTTCCACAACGTGGGCCAGGTGTAGAAAACGGGTTTTGTTCATTCTTACATAAATAGGTAGAGAAAGAACCCTGGACTCTTATTTTGAGAAATTATGTTAACACAGTAAGAAAGAGTCTTTTGAAAATACCTCCCTGTTTTAGAATAAGGTATGGACTAAGCGATAGGAACCTGCAAGTTTTCAGTCATAGCTCCTGCAGTGATTAAAGTTACTACCATGCATGGGGTTTGAGGGAGAGTCTTATAAGTTAAACAAACAAAAAAGAAAATCTAGAGAATTTAGATGAGAGCTAATGCAGAAATTCAAGTCTTAGTAATGTCCCTCCAAAGTTGTCTAGCACCTCCTTGCTAAGGCGTGTAGGAGAGCATCAGGAGAGGAGGTATATCTCTTTGCAGGGCAAACACTGAACAAGTGTCACAGGGAATTCTTTATAGGAAAATCTCTGTTCCTGTCACCCACTGACAGAGGATGTGCTGAAGCTTTGAGTAAGGAAGGCATCATCACTTAGACTCCCTAGAGGCAGTCATCTCCCTAAACCTCTTCTTCCCTTAGTCCTCCTGGTTGGAAGCACCCAACATCCAAGACAAGAAAAGTACTTCTTACACCACTGACTCTCTAGACAGTTCATTTTGTGAATTCTTTCTCTGATCATTTTAGAAGCTGTTTAGAGAAGAGTAAGAGACTTGTTGAGCAAAAAAGCATTGTATTAACAGACATTAAATCTGCAAAGGAACCAGGGATGCTATACAGATAGAAAACAATGGCGAAAGGCTTTCCGGGCCTTTCAAACCACATCCCATTGGCTGGACTTGAGTGCTCGAGCCAGTTTCCTTTAGTGTGTTTGTGTGGAGCCATTCCCTCCCAGAGGACTTGGCACTCCCGTCTGGGCAAACACAGAGACAAGGCAAAATAATGGGTGCTGTCAAAGTGGAGGAACCAGGAAGGAATAATTCAGGGGATTAGGTTTGAATTTTGTAGATTATTTGTAAAGTCTGCATTTAAGAGCCAGGCTGCATAAAAATTTGGATTAGCTTTGAATATTGAAATTGGTATTTCACAGGTCATGGCAAATTTATATTTTTGGGGGGTGATATATTCTCATGTTAATAAATTACACATTCTCACTTATAAAAATTTTCCTATTTCTGATCTTGTATTAATAAATTAAGGATGAGCTTCAAACCACTCACTGAGCACTGGTTTCTCAGTTCAGTAAATCTGACCAGCATTTTTTAACCACATAAATACCAAACATCATACTGGATACTGGGAATACAAAAATGAATAAAATGAAGCCTGTGCCTTCTATATAGGTATTCACAGACTGGGTCTGAGATACATTGGTGTATCAGGACCATGGGAGAACCAAGTAACTGTACAGAAACTGATTGCGATGCCTTTGTACTTAATGAAGATATTAATCAATTTCAATGAACTAATTGTAGAAAACTGTGCATTAAATTGAAAATTTCTTTTGGGCCAACAGAATTGTACAGGCCAGCAGGCTGTGTACTTGATGTGTTATGGGCCCTGACTTGGCAGTCCTTTCACATTGAAAATGTTCATTGCCTCCAGAATGAGCTGGATATGAATCAACAGAGAAATCAGGCCCTAAATGATGATCCTATAATTGTATCCTGTTTAAAACTCATTACTTTAGGTTCTGTTGAGTCTAAAATTTCATCTCTTTCCGTAGGAGGTTATTGAGATAGTTCTAAGTCTATATAGTGTCACCTCCTAAATTGTTTAATGAAAATTCCACACATAATCCATTTCGCTAAAAAATGGGCATAAGCTCTAATAAAGTTTACAGTATCCACACTTCATGACCAAGATTTTTACATCCAGTTATATATCCTAAAAATTGTGTTTTTGTGTACCAGGACTCAAGCATGTAAGAATTTTCATGGGATATTATTTGTAATAACACCAAGTAAATATACCCTTAATATCTAATTAGAATAAATAGTAGTGTATGCAAAGAATGGACTATCATATCACAATAAAATGGACAAAACATAAAGAAACGTAATGTGAACAGAAACACAAAAACGCATATGTGTAAAGTCTGACAGCATACAAAACTATTTAGTGATGCATAAATGGCAGTTAGTTTTAAAAACAAGGAAGTAATTATAAAAATCATGGTAGTGCTTACCTACAGAGGGGAAAAAACAGGGTTGTTGAGAGCCTATTGAGGTAGAACAGGCACACAATTTAAAGGGGAATCAAAAAACTAATCAAGATAAATGTTATTTAATATAATACATTTAAAATATCCAAATTAATGCAGAACTCTATGATGAAGAAAATGTATAAATTCTAAATAAAGACCAGATTAGTAGGGTGCTGAAGGTATTCTTTCTCTTGACCTGGGTGGTGGATTATATGCATGTTTGTTTACTTTCATGGGGCTGAATATTTATGTTCAATATACTTTTCACACATGTGTCCTATTTCATAAAGTTGAAAAAGTGGCAAAAACGAACACAAGCAGGTTCTTAATTTCTTGTGATCTTAAGTCCCGTGTTTCTGTACTCTACTGAAGATTTCTTCTAGTTTCTTTTAAATTCTGACTCTTTTTTTATAAAACAACAATTACACTGCCAAATAAAATTTCCAGTGATTTTGACAGTAGGTTTAGATTGTTCATCAGAAAGTTGGCACTGTGTTTGCTTGTATCTTGGCACCCAAATGTTCAATTTAACTCCAGGTACCAACTTGCCTTATGGCTCTGGTTCATACCCGAGCAATTAACCTTCATTATAATGGTTGGTTCACATTAGAACAATTATCTAGCTGATTGCTCTAATGTAAATGTAGTCCTGAACATGCCATTTTTTTTTCAAGTTTCTGAAGGGTTTTTCCATACCTTACCTCCACTCAACCCCCATGTAGTCGCAAAAATTAGTCTTGTCTTCATATAAAGCATTAATAAATCTAAGTCAGTATTTTATAAATTGATGTTAAGATTTATATATGAAATAGCAAATTATTTATAGAGAATAAGACTGATTAATCCATTAAGTACTTCATGGTGCCTAAATTACTAAAAGTCAAGTTATTATACTATTATAAATAAAATATAGGTTTGTAAAAACAAGATCTGAAAAAGACTAATGAATTATATTTAGCACTATATATTACTTGTTTTTCTCAGAATTAAAATTTATCTTTGGCTCAATAGAAGCTTGGAGAGAAAGAAACAACTGGATGTGCCACCCAGAATCCTGTTGGCTTTTTTTGTTTATTTAATTGGTCTGCTTCTTATTCATATTTCCTTGGTTTGAATTTGAACAACCAAAGAGTTTCAGGTTGGCAGCTATTTCCCTATGTTTTTAAAGTAAAAATAAATGATAGAACATGTCATAGTTATGTTCCTTATGGAAATAAGAAAGCTATGTGAAATTTCTGAAAATTCTTTAAACTTCAAGGGCAGACAATCAACTAGTATATTCACATTAGTAAGTTCTTAAATGTTATTTTTTTAAGTATCTGTTATAAGTGTAATATGTTCCTTGTTCAAAAAATTCAAGCAATACTTTTATAAATGTTTGTAAAAAGTTATATCCTATTAAAGGTATATTCATTGAGCACTACAATGTGCCAGGCACTAAAATAAAAATTGATGTAAAGCGGGTATAAAATGGCATTAAAATAGATAAGAATTTTGCCCTCAGAATTACAGAATAGTATTCTAGTGATGTCTTCTTATGTTTAAAAGTATAGTAAACAAATTTTTAAATATCAAAGGAAATGCCATTCTTCAAAAGTAACTGCTCTTGATGGATTGCTGTGTAACCTTCTGGACCACTTTTGTAATTTATAAACATTTAATTTCCAAAAATGGAATGTTGTGCATCATTCATAAACATATCCTCTTTGAGGCTTTTCATCTGATTACATATATATCTATACTATGGTTTTAAGGCTACATAGTATTTGATTATATAAATATAGCTTATTTGCTCCTTATTGGTGGACATTCTATATATGGTGCTACAATGAGTGCCTTTAATTATAGATTAAATATTTAAACATCAGTATGTTTCTTAAGTGCCTAAAACAAATTTTCTCTTTCACTGCACAAAGAATTATGAGAACTACAATTTGGACAAGAATTACAATAGTAATTCTTCTATACACAGAGAATTTGGGACCATGATTACACAATGAAAAGTCGTCACCTGTCATTTGTTGGCTATATTTGGAAAGAAAACCCACATGAATACTGAACAGGGTGCAGACAAGTTTTCCCTTCTGCTGGTGGCAACTCCTCTTCTTAGCCATTTTATGTCATGTTGTAGTGTCAGCCACTTCACTCCATCCTGGATTCATAAAATAGATAAGAAAACTCATTAGTTTAGATGACCATTTAGTAAAACAAGACATGAAGCACAAGGAAACTAAATCCAGGCTGCATTTGCCAATTTCATTTTCCTTTTTACTAATTTATTCGGTTGATAGGCAGAATCTGTGGCCATTTGTATTTCAGTTCTCTTCTTACGAGATGATAGTGTTTAATTATGAATCTAAATTAGTCAAATTATAATCTAGAGATAAAGTTAAAATATCTTCATTATATTTTATCTTTAATATTTCAAAATACACATGATTTTTCTTTTTTTCTAAAACTAGAACTTTTAAACTATCAATATTTAGGAAATCCTTGTTTTAGTGTTTCTATTCACCCACAGTTTGCAAATTGAAGACCTTGCCATAGAATTTTGAACTTAGGCGTTGAGTTACTGAAGGAAGAAAAACCTTTTCATTCTGTAATTATTTTGGCACAACAGTCATAGATTTTATTTTTTTTTTTTTAAGCGCTTCATATGAAAGCATTTTAAAAACCAAAGGCTGTTTGTTTTGTTTTGTCAATAAGGGGTCTTTGGGAGGGAAACTTCAAGTTACTATATACCATCAATATAAAAATGGTACAGTTCATTACTTTGTGGAATTCACTTTTTTTTTCTTTCTACATTCTCTAAGGCACTTTGGGGGAGCCAGAATTAATCTAGCTAAAAATGCTTTTTAACAGCTTGGCCTGCAGTCTGTTTGTGCTTTTGTCCTTTGTGTTGATGTGGTAATTTTTTAAAGACTAAAATGTGTTAATGGATTATTTAACTCATTTGTTGTGAAAATAACATCTCTTATTTTTTATTAATTTTATAGTAGACATTTATTATTTATAATTTATTGAGTAATAAATACTAAATGTTAGCATTTACTATTAAGCAGAATTTAATATGTGGTAACTGTTGAAAACTGAAAATTAGACAGCTGTACCATTTTAAATTGATGGGTGCAAAGTGTATTTCTTTCTCTTAGGTTACCGTTCCATCAAATACAATATCTGTGAATGGAAGGTCAAGACTCAGCCAGTCCATATCCCCTGATGCCCAGGATGGCCATTGAATGTTTCCCTGGCATACCGCACTTCACCATTTCCACTTCACAGACCAACTTCATACTAACGGAAAATGCTGGCAAATGTATATTCAGATGTGCACTAATATATTTTCTGTTAAAGCATAAGAATTTGTGCTATGGCTTTTAATGCCAGAAGAATTACCAGAGTTTATAATTTATAATAATTTTTTTTTTGCCTTAAGAGCTAAATATGCTGCTTTAGAACTTTAAAACGAAGTGTAAATGACTTTCATTTTTTTTCAAATGAGAAATAATCACTTTTTACTGACTTCACTTACTGACACATTCTCTACAGCAGTGACTTAGATAAAAGTATAAATTAAGATGCATAGATGTATATTTGTATGACACATAAATAGCTAGGCAAACACAGATCTGACATTTGCTGCCTCAATGTTACAGTTTAATTGGAAACATAAGTTAAAGCCTGTTTTGTGCAGAAAGGAGTTAGAAAACTAGTGACATCAAATAAGTATATTCAGTTCAAAAATTATTTTCCGTAATGAATCACTTAGTGTGAAAAAGTTGTGTATTCTTTATGTACTTATAAGTCAGTGTCAAACTTATAAGAAGCTCATAGTATTTTAATATTTTATTAACATGGAACACTTGGTTTTTTAATCTTTAGACCTTAAATTGCACAAGGATAATTTTAAATATTTTCTGTATATAATTATGACATTGTCACACAGATATTACACATTTTATGTGCCAGAAGCCTTAAAAATCTGTGAAAATGTTCATGTATTGTGACAGTTATTTCACATTTGATATGTAGAGAGGAATAGGGGTTAGTTTATGTCCATATTGGAAAACTTTAAAAACTATTTGGAAGTCAGAAATCCTGGTTTTAATTCAAGTAAATGATAAAATTGTCATTATGTAGTTCATATGCTAATATTCTAAATAATATATATTTACATTAAAGCTAAAACTGTTAAGCAAAACAATGCCTAATTTGTTGGCTAATAACTACTCTGGGATCTAGGGTTTGTTGGGGTTCTGTCCCTACAATAAGAATTTAATTGTTCACTTATTCTAAAGGCTTTGTTCAAACAAGCTGATACTACATTTGTTTCTATTAAAACTACTGGGATATATCTGCCTCTTTGGAAGATGTGTTGATTTTTTTTTTTTCCTGTTAAATAAAAGCAAGTTGTATATTTGGGGTGCTTTTTTTAAAAATGTAGTTTTTGTGTCAACCAGGATATTTTTGTACCTCACCTGATACACACATTTCTATCAGCCAGTGAACAAACAATAGTACTACAAACAATAGTAAGGCCATTTATCAGGGCTTCCCAGTGCACATTTAAGCTCTGACATTCTGACTCCAAAATCCATGGTCTAAGCATGTGAAATGCTTTGTATAGTTCCTGATACTTGGTTAAGGGCATCTTAAATGCTAAATGTTGCTGCCATTTTCCTTGAATCAGAGTTGGAGAGACCCTCATATATAGATACTTAGATTATATCATTATAAGCCAGTAGAAAAAGGAGTGAATTTTTAAAAAGTTTTGTTTGTACAATTGATTATCCACTTGGGAAAAAATAAATATCAAACCTTAAATATATTTTATTTGTATTAAAGAATATCTTTTAAAAGTACTATTTTAAAACTTAGAAGAATATAGTCAATATTTTCAGACCTCAGCATATGAAAAGTTAAGACACAAAGACACAGTCATGTTTGATACATTTACATACATTAAAATTTAAAGCATATGTACATTAAGTACTATAAAAGCTAAACAGTAAGCCAGAAGATATTTTCAATAAATATGAAAGGTTTAATTTATGAAAATATAAAAATTCCTATAACTCATAAAAGGACTACTCAGTAGAAATAGGAGCACACTGGAAGTGTGAAATCCAAAAGGCCAACTAACCTGGAAAAAATATTCTTCACTAACCAGGGAAGTATGAGTCAAAAACACAGGGAGGTACCACCTCAAATTAGCAAAAAAATATAAGTTTCAAAATAGCAAGTTTTGTTAAAAACATCAAGCAGTGGGAAAGTATACTGGTGCAACCATCAATTTTGCTATATCTAGTATTAAAGATCCCTTACCATGTCACCTGAAAGAGCTTAGCACATGCATAAGGAGACACTTGTAAAATGTTATGGCAGCCTTGTGTATAACAGCAGAAAGGGGTCCTAACCACGGCTCGATACTGGTAATACATATATGATAGACTTCTTTACAACAGTCAACAGGAATAAGTTAGGGTTATGTATGTCAGCATGGGTACATCTCGAGTGATAAAAGCAAGCTGTGGAACAAAGCGTTTTTTATGATACCAGTTATATAAAGTATGCAAATGATATAAATTATGGCTAATTACATATAGAAAAATGTTTTCTGGTGGTTACCTGTGGGAACCAAGAAAGAGTGGATTGAGATTTACAGAAGACATCAATTCTGTTTATAGTGTTTTATAAGCTGCCTTTTGAAAACAGCTCATTATACTTGGTTCTAGAAATAGTTGAAATAGTTTATATTTAAGGGTGACATAGGACTTGGGGGGGGCATGTATAGGTGCCATTAATACATAAAGAGTCACCCTATCCACAGCATTTTAGGAAAACCTACCCTCTCGGCTGGGAAAAGAAATTTGTGGCAAGTAGTTTTCACCCATCGTATTCTCAAATAAAAGCAAAAGTAAGATACAGGAATGATCTAGAACCAATTTTGATTTTCATACTTAATTTTTGGCATTTAGGCATTTTGCTTTTTTCCCCGCTCAAATTATTTCTTTATAGCATTTTAAAATTCAGATTTGATACATAGATTATGAAATACCTTTTTTGTCTCCAGCATTCTACTCCCCTCTCCAGAGATAACCACTGTTAGTATTGTGATAGATTCCCTGTATAGATGTATTTATATCCAATACATACCTACAGGTTTGTTTTAGGGTTTTATATTTTTGCATTTTTGTGGGAGTTTTTCCCTTAACATAAGAGTCACACTGTAATGCTATTTAGTAACTTGCCTTTTACACCAGCAGTGTTCTGGAAGAGCTTTGCCTTTGCACATATAGGTCTATCATATTTCAGTTAGCTGGTCTCCTTTTATTTGTTTCTTGCTGTGGGACACAGTGTTGGCTAAAGTCCAGACACTTGGGTTCAAATCACAAGTCTGCCACTCCTATAAGTCACGGAATCTTGAGAAAATGACTGTTTTCTCTGTTCCTCATTTTCTCCTGTGAAAAATTTAATATGAATAAAACATGAATTAGTAATACCTCATGGGGGTGGTTGTAAGGATTAAATGAGTTTTAAGTGGCACACAAAATTCATTTTTAAGAGTTACCTATTTTTAATGCTACTATTGGTGAACAGGTTTTATTTATCTAATGTACTCCCCATTCTTCTGAGGAGGGACCCTCCTTCCCGTTTCACCTCTTTAAATACTGCCGGGTCTGGCCTTGGCCGCCAGGCATTGGCAGCACAGTCCTCACTCTGCCACCTTAATCCAAGTCCTTGAAATGAGACCTTTTCCCTGAGACCTAAAGTTGCTTAGACATCCTTGAAACTGAAAGAGTTTCAGTTGATGCAATTATTTGTCTAATGCCGGTTTATTTTCTACCCACTACAGTAGAGAAAATACACAAGAGCTAAGAATCAAACTCATTCTTTTTGCTATTTGTTGATTTTGATAAACGACTTGAAAGAAAAGAGAACTTGCGACTAGGGGGGGTCACAGTGAAGATTTCCAGGGTCAGAGTGGTTTCTCAGAGATGACTTTTGATGTAAAAATAGCTCATATGTATTTGCTACTTTAGCATTTACAACAGGATTTTTGTTGCTTGACCCGCATGTGAAACAAAATGCACAAAGAGATTGCTACTTTACAAAGGTCACACAACCAGACAAGTCTCACAATCCCACATCTGATTTCTAGTTTGCTCTTCCAATGACTAAACTTAGCAAATGATGGTGGAGAAAATGGTGCTAGATTTCAAGGGACACCAGAATAGTAACCTACTTGTTCTGGATCTTCACTTGGTCTCCCTTTTCTCTTAAATGTTACCGCTTTCCTTCAAACTTTCATCCTTAATACTTCAGGCACCTCATATAGATATATTTTGTTTATGACAAGAAAAAATGCCACCAAGTGCTCACTCAAAAGAACTCTTTTGACAGGTACTTTGAGAAGAATTGTGGAACATTCTGGTAATTGCTACAGAACTGTCCTCCCCACCCTTTGTAGTACAGTGATGGCCCCAATTCTTTTCCTCTCCTGCATCCACACCTCCTGCCATGTGACTTTGCAGCTCCTCTTGCTAAAGAGGCAGAGCCCGTTTCCCCACCCGTAGAAGCAGGTTCTGTGAGTAATAGAATGAAGTGAAAAATGACGTCTCGCCAGTTCTGAGACCAGGTGTCGAAGGTTTGCATGTTTCTGCTTGCTTTTGTGGTACTTAAAAAATGTTACTGTGAGAAAGACATCTCTGGGCTAGCTGAATAGTCCTAAGAAAAGGATGAGAGATGCAGGCAGCAGACCCCCCAAATAAGGCCAGCCCAGATCATTCAATAGCTAGACCCTCAGCTTATTCTGAGGTGTAAGCAGTAAATGTATACCTCCAAGGTTTTGTGGTTGGTTGTCATAGAGCATTAATGTGGCTATAGGTGCAATATACTCTGTGAAACAAAACATACACACATGACTCTAACCCTAATCATAAATTCATTCAATCTGTTCAAGTTCACACACCCTGTTTCCCCCAGAGTCCTACATACTATTTGCTAAATCCAACACAAATATACCTCAGACTCTCTGTCTAGTTCCCAACTGGTTAAAAGCAATTCTAAATAATATTCTTTTCTTACTTGTGCAGAAGTATTTTCTCTCCTTTTCTCTTTCTCATGTCTTTAGACCTGGAAGTATGAGAGCCCAAGCATCAAAGGCATCTACAGTCCCCTCAGAAACTCTTTGGACTTGTCTATTTCATAGTGTTGTGAGATAAAATATGGATTTCCAGTTAAATTTGAATTTCAGGTAAAATGATGAATTACTTTTTCAGAATATGTCCCATGCAATATTTGGGGCATACTTTTATTTTAAAAATTGTTTATCTGAAATTCAAGTTTGAGCATCCTGTATTTTTCTTTGCTAAATCTGGCAACACTACTATGTCATTGAAAATCTGGAAGGTGTAAAAAGAAGCATCTGTTATGTGAGGAAAAGAGAAAGGAGAGAAGGCCCAGGCTAGCTAAGTCAAGAAACCAAGAGGTGGCCTCATGAGTAGCTTACCTTTTATGCTCTTTGAGGTAATATTTCATCATCAGAGAGACCCTGATGTTATGAATGGGGAAAGGTTCACTGAAGAGCTCATAGTGAATAAATCCTTTGGATGACTTCTGTTGGTGGATTTTAGATAACTTCAAGCCATCAGAAAATAATATACATACTTTTTTGAAACAAGAGTCTCACTCTGTTGTCCAGGCTAGAGTGCTGTGGTGTCAGCCTAGCTCACAGCAACCTCAAACTCCTGGGCTCAAGCGACCCTCCTGCCTCAGCTTCCCAAGAAGCTGGGACTACAGGCATGTGCCACCATGCTCAGCTAATTTATATATATATATATATATAAGGTAGAAGTAATAAAGCTAAAATTTGTTAAGTAGCACCTATGCACCCTTTGCTAGGTGACTTTTGGGACAGGGTTTTTTTTTTTTTTTTTTTTTTTTTTTGAGACAGAGTCTCACTTTGTTGTCCAGGCTAGAGTGAGTGCCGTGGCATCAGCCTAGCTCACAGCAACCTCAAACTCCTGGGCTCGAGTGATCCTTCTGCCTCAGCCTCCCGAGTAGCTGGGACTACAGGCATGTGCCACTATGCCCGGCTAATTTTTTATATATATATATCAGTTGGCCAATTAATTTCTTTCTGTTTATAGTAGAGACGGGGTCTCGCTCTTGCTCAGGCTGGTTTTGAACTCCTGACCTTGAGCAATCCGCCCGCCTCAGCCTCCCAAGAGCTAGGATTACAGGCGTGAGCCACAGCGCCCGGCCTGGGACAGGTTTTATCACCCCATTTTACATATGAAGTTCAGAGCAGCTAAGTAACTCTGCTAGGGTGGTGCTGGGGTCGAAGACAGCACCACTTGTGCCCACTATACTCTGCTGCCTTATTCCAGTTACAAGTGTGTACATGACAATCTTCCA